TTCTACGAGCGTGCGGAAAAGTGCACTTTTCCGCACGCATTTCAGTTTGGAAAGTTTCATCATCGGCTTCTTTGAACTCCGAATAGCAACGGATATACAGGGCAAAAAAGAAAAAACTGCGTCTCATAACATCCTTTATACAGGGTGTTCCGAAACTATTGTGCCAAAAATTGAGGAATGTTAGATCTCGCCAAAATAAACGTTATTTACTTATAAACCCATAGGCGCATGCGCTTTGGTTAGGTGATAATAGCTCATTACGTCTGCACTGTGGTAGCCACCTTGCTCACGGAGAAACGTGTTTGAATAAGCAGAACCTGTGTTATTAAATAATACAGAACCCAAAGAATGCTTGCAGTATTTATTTAAAATAATTATTCACATTAAAAGATGCTCAAAACTACGACCACCCGCCTCAATGCATGTGTAACAGCGTTGTAGCAGAAATATCGAGTAGATTTCTGCACGAAACCCTTCCCGAAACTGTTTCCCTGTATTCCAGACAAAACATAGGGTACCAACACGACAGTCCACCACCACATTACTTCTTAGCCTTAAGAGAACATCTCAACGAAACATCTGGAAAGAGGGATTTGTTAAGGGGGCATGGACTCCGCGTTCACCAGACCTGACGGAATGCGACTTTTTTTTATGGGGTCATATGAAAGCTCTTGTTTACGACACTCCAGTTGAAACAGCTAGAGGAATTTATTAGGAAAGATTGTTGCAGCAGCTGCTGAAATTCTCGAAACTCCATGAATTTTTCAACGTGTTCAGGAGGCTATGCTACGGCGCTGTATGGAGGTGGGTGGTCGTAGCTTTGAGCATCTTTTGCTGTGAATCATTGTTTTTAGTAAATACTGCAAGCATTCCTTGGGTTTTGCATCATTTAATAACACAGTTTCTGCTTCAAACACGTTTCTCCGTATGTAAGGTGGCTACCACAGCGCTACCTGTAATGTTCTATTATCACATTACCAAGGCGCATGCGCCTATGTGTTTATAAGTAAAAAACGTTTATTTTGGCGCTATCTATCTTGCCTTAATTTTTGGCACAATAGTTTCGGAACACCCTGTATATTGTCAACTAGCTGCTTAGGAAAGGAGGACCCGGTATTCAACCTGATTAATTTAATTGCCGATTCGGTCGGATGTTTATCGCAATTCAGCAATAAATTGATATAAATTGCGCTGCAAGCCGCAGCAAAGGCAGACTTAAACCAGTGCAAGTACCTCTCGTTGGAAAAGCCCCTCTGGAATTAAGTCTCCCCAGTGCAAGTACCTCTCGCTGGGAACGCCCCTCTGGGTATCTTCAGCCTTATCGTTGTCCAGTGCAATTACCTCTCGTTGGGAACGCCCCTCTGGACAAGGCAGAAGGGTGACGATAAACTAACCTACAGTCCCCCAAGCAGCATTGACGTGTGGCCCCCTATAAGGACCCCAGTGTACGAAGGGTCATGTATCTTATAGGGTTAGCGTACATGTAAGGTTATATTTGGGAAAATATATATCTATATTTTTATATAACCTGAGCGAGTTTCTCTCCATCAACCCCCAAAGCTACAAACCCCCCATGTCACCCCCGTAAAGCGGGCAGTTGTGACAATATAAAAGATACAATCAAGAAGTTCAAAGAAGTTGACAGATTATTTATAAGCAGTTGATTGCGCAACTTTTTTCGCATTTGGTCCACCCTGTATTTTCAATAGATTTTGAAATATTCATTTTTTATATTTTCCCTTACATAAGTATATCTTAGAAGCGGAAAAAAATATGGCAACCCTGGGAGCTCTACCTCCAATGGATACTAAAATTTGCTAGTTTTGTCACAGCTTAGCTTTTGTCTAATTCAACCGACTTCATCCCTCGGAGATAGCAATAGTGGTATCATTTCAAACGGACACCCTTCATAGGGATTTTTAAGTAAATTCAAAAACGAAATAAATAAATGGGGGTATCCACATTTGCACATACCATCGGCACATACAGTTGGTCTTGTTTACCTAGGTGCAGGGTTGGCAGGATATATATCAGCATTATCAGCGATAAATATCCTGATATATATCTTGATAAATATCAAGATATTTATGCTATAAATATCCTGATATATATCAATATTTATTTGGATGGCCTTTCTTCCGTTATTTTATGGTTTTATTATGGTATGTTGAGAAGTTTAATGGCCGTAGTAGTATATTTATGAGAAAAAATCACAGGGATCTCGGCCAAAACAGTCTATATCACGTCAATTATCAAATATTATTTTATTTATTTTTATTTTTGTATATGAAATATTAGGTTTTTTAGTTGTAGGCTACTTTTTGTTGTTGAGTTCTGAGTTGTCATTTTTTTTTGGTGTTAAACCACGACTACGAGTGGTACAAAGGTATAAATGACATAAATGTTTTCATATTCTTAAAAACGACTTTTCATTTACTTATTACACTTTACATTCCTATATATGTATCTATAGGAGATTGGAGCACTAAAACTTGTTATCGCCAAACCTCGCGCCACACCAACTGGCAACTTTACATGTTTGTAACATTTCATTACCATAAAGTTATTTCGAATTTTAATAATACAGATAACAGAAAACAGATACTAATTTAAATAATTAAAAATATAAATAAATATCCAAATTTTGATATACAGGGTGTATATTTTAAGTGATACCACTATGGCTATATGCGAAACGGTAAGAGCTACAAGGTCGGTTAAATTAGAAAAAAGTTGCCTTTTTTGATGCTCTTTCAAGACTTGTTTACAATGTTGCCAAAGTCCTTTTAGTTTATGAAATACAGGGCGATTTATAAAAAAGGCCCAAAATTATTTCTTCAATGATTTTGAAAACTATTGATATTCGGGACACAATTTAAATTTGAAAGTTTTATAATTTTTTTCGCTCTACAACATGGCATCTTCAAATTTTAAATCCGACGTTTCGTGTTCAAGATACCATCAACAACTTCATTTTTTTAAATACGGACCTGGATTTTTTATGTCATTTTTGGAAAGAGAATTAAGGGCGCTTCCTAAAAATGACATAAAAAATCCAGGTCCGTATTTAAAAAAATGAAATTGATGATGGTATCTCGATCACGAAACGTCGGATTTAAAATTTGAAGATGCCATGTTGTAGAGCGAAAAAAATTATAAAACTTTCAAATTTAAATTGTGTCTCAAAAATCAATAGTTTTCGAAATAAATGGTAAAATATTTTTAGACGTTTCTTAGAAATCACCCTGTATTTCATAAACTAAAAGAAATTTGGCAACACTGTAAAAGAGTCTTGAATGGGAATCAAACAAGGCAACTTTTTTCTAATTTAACCGACCCTGTAGCTCTTACCGTTTCGGATATAGCAATAGTGATATCACTTAAAATATACACCCTGTATATCCGATATATATCGGATAATAGGATATTTATATAAGTATCATGATATTTGCCAACCCTGCCTAGGTGCAATTTAAACTATATTTTAGACTTGTTAATTGTAAGCTTCTAGAAATAAGTCACACCTCTGTAACATAGGAAAATATGGAAATATTATTGATTTGATTTGTGACACGTGATAAATTTTTGTTCAACCACTCTGTATACTACTGCAGAAAATTTGATACTATAGCAAACCCACGACAGGTAGATCTCTTTACTTTATCTTTGATGGGATTGAAAAACAGAATACAAGTAGGTACGAGTGGGCCAATTTGGACACTTCCTTATGGAAACACTCTTTATGTTTAGAGATAGAAAAAAATGAATCCCCCACTCTGAGGCTCAAATTTCATGAAATTTTGATTGGTGCAAACCGCTTTTTGATATCTTCAACCGTTTAGTCCCTAGAGGGCGATTCTCGATTTTGAGCAATATTGTGAACCCTTCATAACTTTTTTGTTTATGAAAATAATTGATTTCCGTGAAAACTTTCTGGAAGCACTTTTTAAAAAAAAATTCAGGGACGTTCTCGGTTTTTTTCTATTTGGCGCCGATTTTGAGATATTGACCAAAGTCTGATTTTTTTCAATGGGACACCCTTTATATTAATAGCTCATTGCAAAAGCTATGATTTTTCTGATTTTAATGATATAAAGTTCGTTAGGGGTATCTCTAACCGTTTTCGAGAAAAAAAATAATTTCGGTTTTTCTCATAAGAAGCAATGTGTTAGAAAATGACGTTATATCTGTAAGGAGAATTAAAAAGGTCTCTTTCTAATACATTGTTTCTTATGACAAAAACCAAAATAATTTTTTTTCTCGAAAACGGTTAGAGATAAACCTATCGAACTTTATATCATTAAAATCAGAAAAATCATAGCTCTTCAATGAGCTATTAATATAAAGGGTGTCCCATTGAAAAAATCAGACTTTAGTCAATATCTCAAAATCGGCGCCAAATAGAGAAAAACTGAGAACGTCCCTGAGTTCTATTTTAAAAGGTGCTTGACTATCACAAATTTCAATAATAAACTGAGCGATTCTTCTGGACCGTTCTAGAACCGTACTTTTTCCAAACCCGAATAGGCCTAATATTGCTCAAAATCGAGAATCGCCCTCTAGCGGCTAAACGGTTGAAGATATCAAAAAGCGGTTTGCACCAATCAAAATTTCATGAAATTTGAGCCTCAGAGTGGGGGGTTCATTTTTTTCTATCTCTAAAAATAAAGGGTGTTTCCATAAGGAAGTGTCCAAATTGGCCCACCCTACATAGTAGAGTTTGATTATTAATTTTTTTTCAAATTATTTATTTTTATTATTATTCAGAATTTATATTGTTGTTATGAATGTTATGTTAATGATACTGGCTAGTCCGTTGATAAGGAATTTAATTTTTTTTAAAAAAAAATACCTAAGTAGGTCAGAAACTGTGTGCCCAAAAAAAAAAATCGATGTGTGCGAGCATTTACCTGAAAAAATACTTACCCAATTTTTTAATAAAACCTTTTTGAGTTCTCTGTATAAGTACAACTACATCGACCGCATAATTTTTATTTCAGATAAGAGTGGAACGAAGTATTCTTAAAAAATTCGAAGATATACAAGCTATTGTGGCAAATAAACCGGATTTACCCGAACTTCAGAAAGAACAACATAAACAGTATTTAATGGATTCTTTGGTGTATTTGTCTTCACGTTTTGAGGTAAATTATCAACTGTGCTGTTTAAATTAACATAAAACCTATTATACTCACTATTATAGAATAGGTCATGCCTGTGAAAGTTTTTCAAAAAAATGTAGGTAGTGGGTATTTGAATAGATCAAAGAGAAATTCATGCGAACTTTGGATATCATTGAGTCACAATCAACCCTAGCGTGTCCAAATAGGTACCTACTTTAGATGCGATTCAGCTTGTCAAAGTTAGCTCGATTAAATGTGACTTGTCAGTATGATCGGATCATTTTTCATTAACTTGTATTTCAACTTCTGTGATGATGCTTCTTTATGAAACATGAAAAGCAATAGCAATGTTCTATGGATGTAATAACTGGTTTAGTTTGATATAAAATAAATTTCTTATAGTGTCTAGATGCAAGCCGGGCATGGTTATGTTATTGGATTTTACACCCCTTGAGCTTAATGGGCGTAAGACTAGAAAATACCTATAAATCTCAAATAGCCCAATTTCTTGCAAAGTAAGAATGTAACCTGCCTACGACATTTGTATAAACATTGTGTGATTTAGGTGCCAAAGCCCCGAAGGCGGTTTTGGTGGCGGTCCTGGCCAATATCCACATTTAGCTTCCACCTATGCAGCAGTGAATGCGCTAATGATTTTAGGCACCGATGAAGCTTTCAAAATTATTGATAGGTATTTTGGTTTTATTAGTGTTATTTTGGAAAATTAATATTTTTTTTTGTAGAAGAAAATTATACGAGTTTTTCATGACTCTTAAACAACCCAACGGATCGTTTGCGATGCAAGTGGGAGGCGAAATTGATATACGAGGGGCATATTGTGCTCTTGCAGTTGCTAGTCTTACCAATATTATGACTAACGAGTTAGTCAGAAATACTGCCGAATGGATAATTAGGTATATTTTTTTCTTAAATCATAAACAAATGCATAAAGAAATAATTTTTCAGTTGTCAAACATATGAAGGGGGTTTCGCAGGTTGTCCTGGCATGGAAGCACATGGTGGCTATGCCTTTTGCGGTTTGGCAGCCTTAGTTATTTTAAATAAAGGGCATTTATGTGATAATAAGGCATTGTTGGTAAAATACAAGATTTTTCTATATTCTACATGCTAGAACTATAATTTTTTAGAGATGGTTGACTCAAAAGCAAATGAAACTAGAAGGTGGCTTTCAAGGTAGAACCAATAAATTAGTGGACAGTTGTTATTCGTTTTGGCAAGGTGGAGCCTTTCCTCTTTTATATTCTTTATTGGCCAATGACGGTTTGAAACCCCAGGGCCATTTGTTTGATGAACGAGCCTTGCAAGAGTACATTTTAATATGTTGCCAAAATCCACATGGAGGTTTAATAGATAAACCTGGCAAACCTAGTGATACTTATCATTCATGCTATGCCATTAGCGGGTTATCTGTGGCTCAACATGTTTTGAACCAAAAACGTGTTTTAGGAACCTATAGAAATGAATTGGTAATTTTAGGTGTTTGAAATTTATTTATTGTTATAACATGAATTTTTATTTTAGGCTAGTACTCATCCTTTATACAATATTAGACCAGATATGGTTAGAAAAGCTTTATTATATTTTCACAGTAATAGCGTAAAATCTATGTGACACATAATAGGCAAGTTTAAGGTGAAATTGTTTTTTTGCATGAAGTTTGCGGCTATTTACTTTTTTGATCATAGGTTTTTAACATTAAAATTGCATCTATTGTAAGTTTTAAATATTCTTCAAGATAAGTAAAAAAGTTACCTAATAATTTTCTCCTGATTATAAATTTTATTGAAAATGAAAAGTGAATTTTTTTTTGAGTTGTTTTTGAATCAACAGTCAACTAGGAGATACATAGCCAATGGAAATGCCCCGCCCACAAAAAAGAAGGAAACGAGCCGCAGTGCTCCGCCTTCCAGAGCTCCAAAACCAACCTTCAGCCAGATAGGGGCCTATAACACAAACACTACAAGTTGAACAAGTGTACAAATAAATTATACAAGTGTAGATATTCTATAACACAAAGTAATTTGTAGTTACTAGCGGGGCACTGGTGGTTACGGAACTTTCTGCACAATTGTAGAATCTTTCTATAACACAACCACCACCCTTGTACACTTGTGTTACGGAACTGTCAACAATTGTAAAGAATTTCCTACCTATCCTAAACGCTGGGTAGATTCAGTGTAGTGAGGTTTTCCACCGTGAACGTACCATTTTACTTTTACTGTCTATATTATGTGGTCAAGTGATTCAGAGAGTGACCACGAAAATGATCGTGCAGTGTATCGGTACCGAGAGAGAATTAACTTTGGCATACTGCCAGACGGAGAATTTGTGGAAAGGTTTAGACTCGATCGAATTCAGTGTGAAACTCCTTCTTCAAAATATAGGCCTAGCAATCGCTAATCGAACGAATGGATGGTACGGATTGTCATCATTACAGAAACTGCTTATTGCTCTGCATTGGTTTGGAAACAGAGGGCAGTACCATGGAGTATGTGATATGCATGGGGTGTCAAAGATGACCATTTGCAGGTGTGTTTACGAAGTTGTTGGTGCGGTGAACAAAATAAAATTTGATCAAATAATTCGATGGCCCGACAATACAGCGAACGTCATAGAACGCTTTCATGGTTTGGCAGGATTTCCTGAAGTTTTGTGGAGCTATGATGGAATCATCATAAATATCGACCTCCCACAAATAATGAACCTGCTTACGTCGACCGCCATGGAAAACATTCAATCAATTGCATGGCCGTGTGTGGTCCTGACTTGAAGTTTTATTATGTAAGTGCAAACTGGCCGAAAGTGTGAACGATGCGCGGGTCCTTCGTAATAGTTTTTTAAGTCGTAGAATGGTAAACGGTTGGAGACCTCATACTAATGCGGTAATTCTCGGAGATTCCGCTTATCCTTTACGTGAATGGTTAATTCCACCAACCTATGACGATCCGATGAACCCAGCACAAACCGCTTTCAACAGAGCTCACAAACGAACTCGGCGCATTATAGAAAACGCTTTCGGCGTATTGAAGGAAAAATTTCCATGTTTGAACCACCCACGGCTTGATCCAGTCTTCGTAGCCAACATTTTTTAATGTGCGATATTGTGTAATATTACAAAAAACGGAAATAACCCAGTTGTCTAAAAGCAACGACTGTACAAGTGTAGAATATTTCACTAGTAGCTACAAGTCTATGAAATAATATTGTGTTCCAAAAAATCGGGGTACTTGTAGCAATAAGTGAATTACTAATAACTTGTAGACTTGTTACAATTGTAAGCATTGTGTTATAGGCCCCTGGAGGCATAAAGGTAGGAATACTACCTACAGACGTCCCCAATTGCCTTTTGTCAGTGGAGCAAATTCAAGCCACCAAAGAGGCAATTATGAATAAGATCGTGGACGAGGTAGCATCGGATTGCCCGATCAAACCGAAGTTTCTGAGCGCCCACAACAGACCCGGCTGGCTCGCTCTAGTTTGCGAAAACATAGCCACCAAGCAGTGGCTGCAAACTGCAGTCGCCTCCATCAAGCTTTGGGACGAAGCTTCGCTAAGGATGGTAGAGGAATCTGACATTCCTCACTCTGACGTCCTGGTGGCTCGATTTCCAAGCAGCATGGATTACTCCACGGAGAAAATCCTCAATCTCGTTCAAGGCCAAAATGAGGGCCTAAACGTCAAAAATTGGCGAGTCATCCGACGTAACGCCGAGGGCCATCTGGTCACACTAACCCTTTCTGTGGACAGTGCATCCGCAGAAAAACTCAAATCCGGAGGCTACGCGGTGAGTTACAAGTTCGGTCATACGACTATAAGACCGCAAAGCAGCCGGAGCACAACAGCTGTGGAGCAACCAAGCTCCCCAAAGAAAAGCGGCGCCGAACCAAGGGCAGGAACGTCTAAAGACTCAATGAGTCATAAAGACGAAAGTGCCCAGGTGGAGTGCGAAAAGTGAGTGCAACTCTAATGTCTCCCTCCAAGCAACCAAAGAGAAGCAACTCACCATGCATCAAATGCATCCAAATAAATCTTCAACACTCAAAAGCTGCCACTAGTGAGCTTAGAAGAAGAATGTTTGGACAAAAATCATTGTAGGGCTACCTCAAGAGCCCTGGGTCAATGGAGGCTCTATAAAAGGCCTAAATATCAAATCATGTAAGTTAATCTACAACATTAACCACGAAAGACCAAGAGCAGCATTGCTGCTTGACAAAAATTTAGAATGTTTACCTGTTCCAGAGTTCATCACACAAGACTTGGCAGCTGCTTTAGTAGAAGTGCCAACGGAGGGGGGCTCAAGGCATATTCTCATAGCCTCAACCTACTTTCCAGGTGATGATAACTCAGCACCGCCAGAGATCGTCCAACGACTCATCACGTGGTGCAGAGCGAGAAACAGACACTACATTATCGGGGCGGACGCCAACGCCCATCACCAGGTAGGATGGGGAAGCACCGATACAAACGCAAGGGGTGAGTACCTTTTTGAATATTTGAACTCTAACAACGTAGACATTATCAACAAAGGTAACAAACCCACTTTTATTAACGCCGTCAGACAAGAGGTCTTAGACGTGACTCTCTCTGACACATTTACATCTAACACAATAACCAACTGGCTTGTGTCAAATGAACCCTCCCTGTCGGACCATCAAGCAATAAGGTTCGACCTAGAGGCAGTAATAAATCACTCAGTACAGACAAGAATCCCAAAACTCACCAACTGGGTATCCTTTGTGGAGGGTCTCTGCCTGAGTCTAGATGAACTCCCTTCTGACATAAATACAATAGAAGAGCTAGAGGCATCATCTGACAATCTAACAAATGCGATAAAAGAGGCAGTCCACAGGGATGTGCCTTGGTGGAACGGGCAGCTGAGACGTCTGAAACAAGATGCCAGAAAACTGTTCAACAAGGCAAAAACTAACGGTAACTGGGCAGACTATAGAACAGCCCTAGACAAGTACAACCGTGAATTAAGAAAATCAAAAAGGAAATCATGGAGACAATTCTGCGAGGGGATTGACAAATTAGCCCCAGCTCAACGTCTCCAAAAAGTTCTTTCAAAAAACCACTCAAACGGAATTGGTCTGCTTAAAAAGCCAAACGGAGAACACTGTACCGACCATATAGAAAGTCTAGAGGTACTACTACAAACTCACTTTCCAGGTTCGGTAATCGTTGAAGCCCTGAACCAGGTCACTCCGCCTATCGAAGGGCCACAAAGCCCTAACGGCAGGAGCAAAAGGCTGGCTGGGAAAATCTTCACAATGAACAGAATAAAGTGGGCGATCGATAGCTTCAGACCCTACAAATCTCCAGGCAAAGACGGGATTTTTCCCGCACAACTGCAAAAAGGCTACGAGTACTTAAAGGTACACCTACAAAAACTCTTTAGGGCAAGCCTGCTCCTAGGGCACATACCGCTATCTTGGAGGGAAGCTAATGTGATATTCATACCAAAAACGGGTCGCCGATCCGAGGACGAACCAAAATCATATCGTCCCATTAGTCTAACTTCCTTTCTCCTTATGACAATGGAGAAAGCAATCGACCAGTACATCAGAAGCGAAACTCTATTGAGAAGACCGCTCTACTCGAAGCAATTTGCCTATCAGCCAGGCAAATCCACAATAAGTGCTTTACACTGCCTGGTTAAAGACATCGAAAAGACAATCGAGTGCGAAGAGATCGCTCTCACAGCTTTCATCGACATAGAGGGTGCCTTTGACAACACCTCACATCAATCAATAGCCAGATCATTACAAGAATGGGATGTTGAAGTTCCAATTGTAAAATGGATAGAGTCGATGCTGGAACACCGTCACGTTACGGCTGAAATAAACGGAGCATCAGCTACCGCTACCACGATCAGAGGGTGTCCTCAAGGGGGTGTTCTTTCTCCGCTACTATGGACACTGGTGGTAGACAAAATTCTTACCAGACTGAGTAGTGCTGGATACAAGGTCATAGGTTACGCAGATGACCTTGCCATTGTAATCAAGGGCAAACATGAAGGTATAGTGACAAGCCGAATGCAAAGTGCCCTAAACATCGTTAAAAATTGGAGCGAAGGCGAAGGACTATCCCTAAACGCAAACAAAACAATCCTTGTCCCGTTCACAAGAAGAAGGAAGCTAAATTTGAAAGCCCCGACACAACTAACATTTTCCAACGAAGTGAAGTACTTAGGGGTCACCCTGGACCGAACCCTTACTTGGAACAAACAGTTAGAGAAAACATGCTCTCGAGCTACATCATGCCGAAGACTTGTTGGCAAAACATGGGGGCTAAAGCCAAAGATGGTATTCTGGATCTACCAAACCATAATAAAGCCAATGGTCACATACGCCTCATTGGTGTGGTGGCCCAAAACCCAACAAGTCACCGCTCAGATTAAGCTAAGAAAGGTGCAAAGGCTGATATGTCTAGGAATAACGGGAGCAATGTCAACTTGCCCCACCGCAGCCCTAGAGACGCTACTCAACATGCCCCCACTTTACCTATGTGTGAAAAAGGAGGCAATAACCAGCGCTCACAGGCTATTCCAAATAGACAAGTTCAAGCCTGGCGATCTGAGGGGACATCTGAGAATCCTTGATCTAATAAAACTGGAGAATGCCAGCAAACCAAGTGACCACATGATGGTCAGATTGGACTTAGAGATCCCCTTCGCAGTGGTAATAAACGACCTCCAATCATGGGAGAATAAAGAACTACCACAAGCAGACAATGCATCTTTGTGGTACACAGATGGATCCAAGCTGATGGAAGGAGCTGGACTGGGCATTTCCGGCCCTAACTTCAAGCTCTCCAAGGCATTGGGTAAACATCTCACAATATTTCAAGCCGAACTGCTTGCCATAGATATATGTGCACAAAAGTGTCTTAACCAAAGCCTCAAAAGAAAACACATCTTCATACTATCGGACAGCCAAGCTGCCTTAAAAGCCTTAAGGGCTTTCAAATGCACGTCAAAACTAGTCTGGGAGTGTAAACAGACCCTAAAAACACTAGCGACACATAACCAGGTAACGCTGATGTGGCTGCCTGGTCATCGAGGCATAGAAGGAAACGAAGAAGCAGATGGCCTCGCAAAGGAAGGGGCCTCAACACCATACCACGGACCAGAGCCCTACTGTGGCTTAATGAAAAGCCACATCATGGAAGAACTCAACAAATGGAAGAAAGACCAACTGTCATCATATTGGAGGCACACACCGGGACTCAGACAGTCAAAAAGGTTTATTACCCTTTCAGCAAAAAGAGCTGAACAGCTCCTTCCTAAACATGAGCAGACCAGACATCAGATTGGTGGTGGGACTGCTCACAGGACACTGCCCAGTAAAATACCATTTAAGGTTAATGGGCAGAGCGGAAGACGATCTCTACAGATTCTGCTCAGACGCAATAGAAACCGCAAAGCACCTGCTCTGCGAATGTCCAGCCCAATTCTGCAAAAGTTCAAATTCCTCGAGGGGGCGACACTGTCACCAGAAGAAGTGGGCCAACTGACACCCTGGAAAATAGCTTCCTTCGGCAGAAGTCTACGCTTCCTGGAGACAAATTAAGATGCAGAGTCACGCACAAAATATCTGCAAAGGTAGCAGTGCTGAGCGGCTGAAAAGCCGAAACGACTCCCCCGAAATCTACAAAATCTATATAGCCAATGCCACACAAACCACTATTTTATGTAAGCTGATGTAGATTGCTGAAAGCCAAAGTAGAATTTCAGACAGAGGTACATCGTTTCCCTTCCAAGATGGCAAGACACCTAATAATTTTCTCCTGATTATAAATTTTATTGAAAATGAAAAGTGAATTTTTTTTTTAGTTGTTTTTTGAATCAACAGTCAACTAGGAGATACATAGCCAATGCCACACAAGCTACTATTTTATATAAGCTGATGTAGATTGCTGAAAACCAAGGTAGAATTTCAGACAGAGGTACATCGTTTTCCTTCCAAGAGGGCAAGACGGAAACTTACATGAAGTTGTAGAGGAGGAGACAAGGGACATTACCTATATAAAGAATGGAGGCTTTCACGGCCGGTCAAATCTAGTAAAAGAGTTTTTTCCAGGCTATAATGCTGTGGTCGACTAATATTCCTACCTAACGTTTCATCTACTACTGCGGTAGACATCTTCAGACGCGGTGTGGTAGAGGACCAAGTGTTCTCTTCTGTGTTCCTCCGATGACTGGATTCAGCGTTGTTGGTTGGACCTACGTTATTTATATCCAGAGTTGTGGGCGTGGCTTGTATTACGCTATTTTCCTTGTCTCGTTCTCGGAAAGGAACGTTCTTTGTTTTTCGGAGAACTGGCAACCAGCTTTTGTTGAGGTTCATGCTCTCTTCGTTTCTGTTGAAGTTGTTGTGGTGTTCCTGTATCTCTGTGGAGTCTGGTGTAAAAATATTTGGTTCTATCCAATGCTTAAATCTGGTCGAAACGGATGACATGGTTTGTTTGTGTTAACACGTGTTCGGCGATTGGTGATCTATCTGTTTGTCCCTGCTGACAGTTTTTTTTTTTGTGCTCTTCGACCCTGGTGCTGATAGAGCGTTTGGTTGTTCCTACATAGACAGATACGCAAAAGCCAGGAATTTTCTAGACGCCAGCTGTTTCAAGAGGTGCCCTATGATCCTTGGCCGATGAGATTTGGTGATTTTTTTTGTGGGCTTGTAGATAGGCTTAATAATGTGTTTTTCACAAGGTTGTTACGTTTAAAACAAAATGATTTAAACATTTGTTTTAAACAGAGAATGGTGTTTTAAACACATTTGTTTTAAACAGTTTAAAACATGTTTTAAACATTGTTTTTTTTTTTAATTTGTTTTTAATGGGTTAATTCAAGGGTTAATTGTTAATTTGATTATTTTTGCTTTGGCTTTGCATTTTCACATTTTTATTTTAAAAGTTTAAGAACAGTTCGTCACCGTAGGATTATAATGGTCTATATCCATTTTTTGGGGAAAAAGAGTTAATTGCACAATTTTTTTCAGGAAAATTAGCTTGGTCTATATCCATTGAAAACACATATTAAACATTTCAAATAAAAAAATAAATAGTAATATTTTGTTATATATCCCTTCAAAATTTTAAAATGCCAAAAATTATTTTGTGCCATATCCCAAACTTCTTATTTGTGCTATATCCTCTAAGTCTATTGAAGCTATCCTAAAAATTATTGTGTTCTATATCCTATCATCTAGGATATAGAATAAAATGGTGCTTATAGACTTTGCCCTTAAATGAAATTATATTGTTCTATATCCATTGGCATTCCCTTTCTTTCAGATCTAAATAATATAGCTATCTTGTATCTTTGTTTATTCACCTATCACCGGCAAACAAACACACAAACAACTTAACCTATCTTATAACTTTCCAGTGAGTATGAGTAATACACCTACCGGCTTTTGAGTAATTTCCTCAGAAAAGTGTGGTAATAATTGAAATTATTGTTTTGTTAATAATTTATTGTGATTAGCGTGATAATGGAGTCTTTAGAAGCACAAGGGTAAGTTTAATCTATAGTGATATCACGGATTATTTTAGGTTTTACGTTTACACATCAAAACATAATTTTGCATTTTTATAATTTGAATAAAAAAATCGCATTGATACTAACTAAGTAGGTAGAAGGTAGTAGGAAGATAATAATTAATTAATAATATTATATAAATTATAATTTTCCATTACTTAGCTCTGAGTCTGAGGATAAAACGTACGAAAGTCGAACAAGTTCCCCAGGACCTGAGAAACCTTTAGACTGCCCGAGTGATGTTTGGGAGTAAGATTTTTTATTGAATAAATATTGTTATAATGGCCTTATATGCTTTTATTTAGCAGGAAAAAAAACAGAACAAAGTTTAGAAAATCGTTGAATCATGAATCAAAATACATAATCAAGATTGTACAGATTAATATAATAATAAGTTTAAATTTTAATGTCAGTTTATTTTCTTGTAAATCCATATTTAAAATATAAGGTCATGCAGTAATTGCTCATTTGCAGAAAAACATTTCAATCTAAACTTTTTTACAGTTCAATGCTAAATATGATAGACACAATAGATAAAGAAGACTCTATGCTTCCGTCTATTTATGGCTTGTAAGTTTATCTACTGAAAGTAGGTGAACCATGTTTTCTAAATGCACTTTTATTGTTTTAGAGATGAACACGTAAACTTTGAGATAGATTCAAACGACAATGACATGAACGGTGATTCGAAGTAAGATTGTTTTTAAATAAAGATATGAAACATTAAGTATGCTTGTTTTTAGTGCAAATGCGAGCGACTCCCAAAATGAAATTGTTTTAGAAATAATAGATATTAACGAGGATGGACAAGAAACAATTCTAAATAAAGAAAGTGTGACACTACCAGAAGATGAGACACAAACCCAACATGTAAACGAAACCATAATGGCCGAAGAAAATAATAATATTTTAGAAAATGTTGATACAAATACCCCTACCAGAAAACGCAAACGAAATCCAAATGGGTGGAAGCAAAATATACGGAAAGAAAACCGTCAACATGGTAAAGAATATATTAATACAAAGGGCAAGTTAGTTGCTCATAAATCGGTAAAAACAACTGGATGCAAAACAGAAAAATGTAGTTTTAAATGTGAAGAGAAAATTACAGTTATCGACAGAGAAAATATAAACAGAAAATTCTGGAGCCTTGGCGACGAAATAAAAAATCATTTTTATTCTAAGCATATTAGAAGATACCCAGCAATACGAAAAAGAACTAAAAATGAAAATAGCAGGAAGACTTATTCTTACGATTACTTTCTTTATGTCTCTGGTCTAAAAATTAAAGTGTGCCAAGAGTTTTTCCTGAATACTTTAAACATTAGCAAAAGTCGGGTTTACTACTTTTTTCAAAAAGTCGAAAGTCCCAAGTCCAACGTTCCACGGGCTCCTATTACAGGAAAACATCAGAAAAAGGTAGTTCCAGACGAAGATAAAGAAAAAGTTAGGAATCACATCTCATCGTTTCCTCTAGTAGAATCGCACTATTGTCGCCAAAATTCATCAAAAAAATATTTAGAGCAAAATCTAAATATCCAAAGAATGTATGACCTATATAAAACGACTGTTGAAAATCCCGTTAAATTTCATTTATACAAGTCCATTTTTAATAAGGAGTATAACATAAGTTTTTTTAAGCCAAAAAAGGACTTATGTGATAAATGCGAAGGTTTTAAAGTAAATAGAAATGCAAGTACAGAAGAAAAAATGGAATATGAAGAACACCTGAAAAGAAAAAATATAGGTAGACAAGAGCGACAGAGAGACAGGGAAGCCTATATTGATGATGATACGGTGGGAATAATCACTTTTGACCTAGAGAATACTTTTTCTTTACCTAAAGCAAATATTAGTAACTTTTTTTACAAAATGAAGTTATGTTGCTACAATTTAACGGCCCACTTGGATAAAACTAAAGTTGTTTATAATGCAATATGGCATGAGCTTATTTGCGGTAGAGCTGGTGTTCACATTGCCAATGCTATAATAAGAATTTTGAAAAGAGTTATTGAGGACAATCCGCAGCTAGAGAAAATTATTTTGTGGTCTGATAGTTGCGTACCACAAAACAGGAATTCCATTTTGTCATTCGCTCTACAGTATTTCCTTAACTCGCCAGAGTCTGGAAATTTGAGGAGGATTGAACAAAAGTTTGGAGAACCAGGACATGGCAATGTTCAGGAAGTCGACGCAGCTCACAGCTGCATTGAGAGATTTATTAAGAATTTGGAAATATGGAGTCCTCTAACTCTCGTTCGCATACTCTTGAAGATTCCAAATACATGGAAGCTGAAATTTTCTGTTTTACAGATGAAACCAGCTGACTACAAGAACTATCAACTGCTTTCTGGGACATTTAATTACAATGAGATTCCATACACAAAATTGAAACATATAATTTATGACAAGAGATCAATATTTAATGTTAAATTCAAAACATCATTTGAAGGAGAATCATCTGAGGTGAGGTTAGTGCCTCTGAAAAAATATAGACATAACAACCATGTAGGCATAGAGTTTCCAACGTCTATCCCAAATATAAACTTGGCTGTAAAAATAAATGATGCGAAAAGAAAACATTTACTTGAAATGATGGATTATATGCCCGAAGATGAAAGAATATTCTATAAAAATTTAATGCCCACGGAGAAAACTGCTGCAAATAAGCAGATTATGGTGAAGAAAACCAATAAGCCATCCAAGGTTGGAAATAAGAAACCGAAGAAAAAAGGAATTGCATCTACAAGCAAGAAATGAAAATAGGAATAAGTTTGATATCTTTTTGAGAAGAATTTTTGATTTTGTATGCATTACTATTAAAGTTAAAGTGTGTGAAATACTTTAAAGAAATAATAAAATTATGTTGTTCTACATCCCTAACTTTTGTTCTATATCCCTAGAATTTCATTGGACTGCACTACTTTTTTGTATTTATTCCATATCCAAAATAAAAAACTTAAATATATTTTATTACAGACGTCCAAGACATGTTTAATTGGTTGTGATACAAATATGAATATATATATTCCATACAAATAAATTTTCAATGGGACTTTGCCTATATTATTCAGAAAAAACGAGATTAAACTTCAAACCTTGTTTCCTCGTTTTGAACTAAATGGACATAGAACACTTTAACACTACGGTGACGAGTTATCAATTGGGTAATATCGATTTAATTGGATTAAAGCTTAAAATATAATGAGAAAATTGAAAAAAAAAAAAAAAAAAAAAAAACAAACAAGCAAATAAAAAATAAACTAAAATAAAAAATCAATCCTCTTTGGTTATGGTTAAGGTTAAGATTAGCACAAAGACTTACGGTTGGTATTTCAACGTAACCACAGGGTACAAAATAATGTTAAGGTCGTTAAGTCATCCTTAATACAAGTTTCACCGTATATCAAAGTTTCCTTAGTTCAAGGTGGATCTCAAGCCACAAAATGAACTCATTTCAAGTTCACCTTAACGTTAAGGGTACCTCAGATGGGTCTTGATTTTAATATTGAAATACCGGCCCTTGGTTTCAAAATAAACATTTCAATTCCTTATAATGAAGCATATTGCTCTCAGCCGCAACCCTACAACGAACAACCCAACCCAACAGGCAACGTAACAGTTTAAATCGGAAGTCAGAGGTGTTTTAAACATCTTTCAAACATGTTTTAAACGTGTTTTTTTTTTCTTAGGTGTTTTGAACAGTTTAAAACAAAAAAAAACACTAAAAACAAAAAAAACATGTTTTTATGTTTTTTTTTTTAAAAAACATGTGTTTTTTTAACCCTGGTTTTTCAAACGTTCGTCCTATGCGATCTATGACACTTTTAATGTAGGGAAGAAAAGCTTTCCCTGCCACCTGTGCTGGTTCCTCATTATTTGTGCACTATTGCTTCGGTCTTATAGCTCTATTTATCTCCTGCTTGGAGTAGGTAGATTCCCATTTCCTTCAAGTGCTGATTTTAAGTGTTGCATCTCGTCCTGAAGGTATCTGGGTTCACAAATCCGGATTGCCCTGTAGATAGACTTTTAATGACTGCTCTCTTTTGCCTAGGATGGTGATTGGATTTCTTGTTGAGGTAGGTATCTATCCGTATGCGAGGGTAATCTTTCTAGGAAGACATTGAGGAATGAAAATGTGTTGTCCTTCTCAACTTCCATCGTAAACTGTATCCTTGCTTCTAATGAGTTTAGATGATTAAGGAAGTTGGTTTCGCTATGTAGATGACATACTTTTGTTGTTTGGAACCATGGACAGGCAGAGCTCAAAAACTTCCTTAATCATCGAAACTCAATAGAAGCAAAGATACAGTTTACGATGGAAGTTGAGAAGGACAACAAAATTGCATTCCTCGACGTCCTCCTAGAAAGATTACTCTCAGGTAAACTGAACACAGAGTATATAGGAAGCCGACGCATACGGATAGATACCTCAAAAAGAAATCCAATCACCATCCTAGGCAAAAGAGAGGAAACATTAAAACTCTATCTGACAGGGCTATCCGGTTTTGTGAACCCATATACCTTCAGGAAGAGATGCAACACCTAAAATCAGCACTTGAAGGGAATGGATACTCCAAGCAGGAGATAAACAGAGCTAGAGGACCGAAAGCAACAGCGCACAAATAATAAGGAACCAGTACAGGTGGCAGGGAAAGCTTTTCTTCCCTACATCAAAAATGTCACAGATCGCATAGGAGGAACGCAAGAATAACACGCATTATTAAGCCTAGCTAGAAGCTCGCAAAAACAATTCAGCAAAGTCTAAGATCGGCCAAGGATCCGACGATACCTCTTGAAACGGCTGGGGTTTATAGATTTCCCTGCTCTTGTGGATCTGTCTATGTAGGAACAACCAAACGCTCTATCAACACCAGGGTCAAGCCACTTATGGCCCTTTATGAGATGAAAATATAAAAAAAATTGTTTCAAATTGAGTTTTTATTTCTGATTGATGATTTTTGATCGACTACCTACCACATTCATCTCTTGACAGGTAAATAATACTTTCTGCATCAACATTCGTCGCCCTAGTTGTGAATGGTCGTAATCCACAAAATGTCCATTCTTGAGTTGTGACCTCGGATGTGACTGTTAACATACTTAAAAATGTTTAAATTTCATGTTGGTGAATAGATCTAAGCCAGTGATCAATGTTTGACCTTGTTATAGTATATTTGCTAATTAAAAAGCATATTTTCATATATAATATCACAAGACAAAAAATTTTGTCGGCAAAATTTTCGAAAGGTATGAAAGTTTGTTGCTTGGCAATTTGCCGAAAAGCAACAAAGTTGAATAAAACCTTGAGAACAATTTTGCCTACACAATTTTTTCTCGAGTGGTATTCGTCATGACTATTTCACTAGAGTGTATTACACCAGCAATAAATTCGGAATTCACCTGACAATAATGCTACCTGGACAATACCAACAACATGGTATTTCAGTGACCATCTTTTGACATTGTCAAACTGGTATTTTTAATTTGAAGTTTTAATTAATAATTTTGCATTCTATTTATTTTCAAAATCTTACGTGAAATAGTCATGACGAATACCACTCGAGAAAAAATTGTGTAGGCAAAATTGTTCTCAAGGTTTTATTCAAGTTTGTTGCTTTTCGGCAATTTTGCTCATGACATTTTTGATAAAAGCCGTCAGGCGAGTGATTTTATCAAAAATGTCATTCGCGAAATTGCCAAGCAACAAACTTTCATACCTTTCGAAAATTTTGCCTACAAAATTTTTTCTCTTGTGATATTATATATGACTATTTCACGTAAGATTTTGAAAATAAATAGATTGCAAAATTATGAATAAAAACTTCAAATTAAAAATACCAGTTTGACAATGTCAAAAGATGGTCGCTGAAATACCATGTTGTTGGTATTGTCCAGGTAGCATTATTGTCAGGTGAATTCCGAATTTATTGCTGGTGTAATACACTCTAGTGAAATAGTCACCAAAAACAAAAAATTTAAATGCAGTTTACTCACAACTTACCTTGAGTGGATTACGACCATTCACAACTAAGGCGACCCATTGTGTCTATTTTTTTTTCAAAATCGGTACGGATTCAGGGCATTTATGGCAGTAGAGGACAATTTCTGAAAATTTCAGCTCATTTGTGTTTTTCCATAGATTTCGGCTTCAAGTCCCAGGATAATTTAGTGTATGGAGTTCGGAGGATCCCAAAGGACCATTAGGACACAAAATCTCAACAAAAGCAACTTGGGGTGATTTATCAATTTTTCAATTTTCTGAGTGCTTTTTTCATAGAATTCGGTTCCAAATCTCAGAATAATTCTGACAGCTGATTAATACTTTCTTTATCAACATTGTGTCCATTTTTTTTCAAAATCGGTACGGTTTGCATTTATTCATTCCGTACATGTATATGGCACCTAGAACAACCCCATTGGTCAGATTTAAAATTTAAACCAATTAAACTTCGAGTGCCATACGCGCGTACGGAATGTAAATCAGTGCCATATGCACTTTCGGAATGTCATACCTAGTTATTGCAGCAGAAAATTTTGTTAAGCTGGAAAGTTAAGAGTCAATTTATTCTTCAACTATAGGTATCTATTTTACATTACATTACAAACATGCGGTGTATCAATCTAAGTTCCGGTGAGCAAAGAAAATATACATACATAACAGCGAAGCGAAAGCGGAAAGCGTCAATATGTTTATTGAATAATATAACAAAACAAGAAAGCTTTATACAAAACTAGAAGTGTCAAATTTGCTATTTTTAAAAAGCATTAGATCAACAACATTCTAAAAGTTGATGGTCATGGTGAATTTGTTAGACTCGAATTCTTCCACCCATCTTCTAGCATCATTTTCAGTCATTAGCACAAATTAGGTTTGCTCCATATTTTCCAGGACTCTGTTCAAAATATTTATAATTATTCAATGGGCGCCTGACAATCACAAAAATAAAACAATGTTTGGCCGGAGACGTGAACGGTTTCCGTGTACCTATGGGCTATGGCCAGGGCCGTAGCTAGGGGTTGGTCATGGAGGGGGTTGGGCAAGAAAAAATCTGATTAATTTATAAACAACAATATTCCTTTTTTAAAAAGTTCATATGATTACATTGCGTTTTTTTAGACACAATCTATTTATGTCATCCTTGGAATTAACATTAATTTCTCTGTGAACTGACATTAGAGCTAAACCTTTCAAACGTTCGTCCACCATTGAATTTCTTAGCCAAAATTTTAGGCGTCTTATGGGAGGTTTAACGATAATCAACGTTTAAAGTGACTTTATTACATGTAAAAATGTCACTTTGAACGTTGATTATCGTTAAACCTCCCTTAAAATGTTCGGTGCAAACGGCTATTAGAGTCGAGAAAGATTTCTCTGGTGTTGCCGTAGAGCAAGGTAAAATTGCTAATATTTGTAAAAGATCTTTAATAATGGGAAAAAAGGACTCATCTGCATTTAAAAACGCGTCAATGGCCGTTCTTGGCAAATGGTTATACCAGGTTACCACTGCCAATATCATTATTATTCCATTTCTTTTGCCACATATCTAATTCAGCCGTGAATAGAGAAAAAAATTTGTGGTATGAGTACCTACTGTGTGCGTGTCCTGCTTAAAAGCGTGAGGGACAAAAACTCGAGGGACAAAAATGCAAAAGGACTTGAAGACAATATCAAACTTACCGATAATAACCTAGTTAATTTGCAATTTCAATCAGACATTGCCAAACTTACCAATAATAACCCGGTTAGTTTGCAACTT